ATTAAAAACAGCAAAAAAAGCCTCAGGGCCAAAAAGCCCCCAAAATGGGCAACCCCCCCAAAATGAACCAAAATGCCTCGAAAATGAGTAGAAAAAAGGCTGGAAAACAGCTGAAAAAAGTCCCCCCCCCCAAAAGGACTGAAAATGCGGTGCATGGAGGCCAAAAACCTTTTTTTCGATCATTTTCCTCTCCTAAATTTAGGTGCGTCTTATAATCTGAAATATACAGTAATTCTAGGTTGCTTCTCTCCTTGATTAGTTTCTATCCATTGTTTCTTGTCTCGTTTTTGGGTGGTTTGGAGAATAAGCGGACCCGCTCTTCTTTATATACAGTAGATTATCAATTGATTCAATGGCAAATCCATAGAATTAACCTTATATTATATTCTCCTCAGTTATTCTTGTTAGGTATAATTACAGACTGTACAGTTATAAGAGACTAATTGGATTCTGAATTTAACAACGGCAGCAAGGCTGTTGGGGGCGCAGTACTGGAAGAAGGAAGAATTGCCTACTATTCAAGAATGGACATTAAAAGTAACAAACTTAGCAGAGATGGCTAAAATATCAGCAAATATCTGTGCTGGGGACCGATCAGGAGCCCCTACTGCTGTCCCTCCCCAGCACCAACCTGCGTGACGGTACGGCAGATCTTGAGCGCTTTCTCGTGAGCTGGCTCTTCCAAGTGGCGCTCGGCTTCGTCTTCGGAGATGCGGGAGTCGTCGGCGTGAAGGTCCACCACAGCTTCCTGACCTCCTAGCGGTGGCTTAATCTCTGGGATCAGGCTCTGGAGGAGGAAGGAAGGAGAAAAGCACATCAGGATCGGTTCTCGGCTGTCCCCGAGTTCGACTTTTGCCCCAGCTAGCCGGTTACCTTGAGGGATTCGGTGGTGATGCTGATCGAAGGTTTCTTCTGGGTCGTGGCGGTGCTGGCGCCCCAGCGCCGTTTGCGGCCCGCCGGCTGGCTTCCTTCGGTGTCACTGTTTGTGGCAACTGGCCCTTTGGTCACGGAGGATGCTAAAAGCGAGGGAGGAAAGGAGTTAATAACTGGAGCAGTTTCCTCAGGACATGATTGGAGGCAGGTTTTCTCTTGAAGTGGCTCGAGTGAGCGAGTCCGTTCACTCCCACTCGCCCTCCCTAAATCGCATGCCCTCTTCTGCATGATCTGGCTATATAGGCAGTCCTCGGCTTACAACCACAATGGGGCCCAACATTTCTGTGGCTAAGCGAGACAATTGAGTTTTGCTTCATTTTACGATCTTTCTTGACACAGTTGGGGGCAGCTTGGCTCTTGAGGTGGCTCGAGTGAGCGAATCAGTTCACATCCACCCTCTTTCCCTAACCCCCATGTCTTCTGCATGATCTGCCAGTACAGTAGTCCTCCACTTACGACAAGGGAGCCCAGCGTTTCTGTTAACAAGTGAGACAATTGAGTTTCTTGCCACGGTCGTTAAGCAAATCGGGCTGCCGTTGACTTTGCTTGTCAGAAGGCCACAACAAGGGATCACATGACCCCGGGATGCTGCGACCGTCATAAATATGAACCGATGGGCAAGGGCTCGAATGTTGATTAATGGGGATGCTGCCATGGCCGTGTGAACAACGGTCATAAGTCACTCTTTTTCAATGTTGCTGTAAGTTCAAATAGTCACTAAATGAATGGTTATAACTTGAGTGCTATCTATTGGGTTAAAACAAGAATCTAGGTTTAGGGTTTTAGTCCCTTTAAGATGGGTGGACTTCAATTCCCAGAATTCCCCAGCCAGCAAAACATAAAATCCTGGGAGTTGAAGTCCACCCATCTTAAAAGGCCTGAGGTTGAGAAACCCTTTCCTAGTAAAATCACAGCTGTCTTCATTACTACAGGCATTAAATGGATTGTGTTTCTGCTACCCCTCTTACTACGTATAGTAATCTGGATGAAGCAATTGGTGCAGAGGATGGTACCGTTGAAAAAATAAAAATATTTTACCAGGTGTATCTTTAAAAATAACACATCCCGTCCCATTAAAGCTGGCTGGGTGACTATGGGCCGATCACCAGGAGATTGGGAGTTCTAGTCCCACCTTAAGGCAAGAAAGCTGGGTGGGTGGGCCAATCCCCAGGAGGCTGGGAGTTCTAGTCCCACCTTAAGGCAAGAAAGCTGGGTGGGTGGGCCAATCACCAGGAGATTGGGAGTTCTAGTCCCACCTTAAGGCAAGAAAGCTGGGTGGGTGGGCCAATCACCAGGAGATTGGGAGTTCTAGTCCCACCTTAAGGCAAGAAAGCTGGGTGGGTGGGCCAATCACCAGGAGATTGGGAGTTCTAGTCCCACCTT